TACATTATGTTCAAACAAACTTTATTTTGGGTGGATTTTACGTTTTCCCAACTAACACGATAATTAGATTATTTTCTGCACCAGAATATTACAGTAAGAAAGACATGCTAAAAACATTAGCAACATCCTTGCGCGGGCGTAGCTCAGATGGTGACGCTCGCTTCATGCAGTGCAGGGATCGATCCCGCGTCTCCAATAAAGTGGTTTCGGAAAACTTTATATTTTAATCCCCATCTTGATGTATAGCACTCGAATGGATGATGACAATTTTGATTATGAGCAACTGGAACCGGAAAGAACGCATTCTGACTCGGAACCCCTGTTATTTGCAAAATATACCACTTGACGCCATGGATGCCCATTTAAAGCAGGTCATCGGAGAAGGTCGTAATAGTGCATATTAAAAAGCAAATTTCTTGTGCCTTGTTTTTCATAATCCTCCTTACCGCGTTTTCGGAAGAAACATTGTTATCAGAACCATCTTACTATGCGCGAGCATATTGAAGGGATGCAGAGAACGTGATTCCAGGGGCGTAGCTACAAGTGAGCACTCAACTTAGCATGCGAGAGGTACGGGGATCAAAACACACCACATTTATTAATGCCTTTGCAGGATATAGAACGTTTCACCCCTCGTGAAGTGATGTTAAGATGTGTATGATATGAGGACAGTTTACACAAGACTTTTGGGAAGGAGGACAATTTCAAACCAGTCCATTTTGATCAATATAGATACTAAGAGTAAGTTTTTCCTCAAATTAACTTGGCTCTATTTGAAGTTTCTGTGCCACGTAGGACTTTGTATTTACAGATGTATAGTTTATGTATAGATGTGTAGTTTGAAGTAAATCTTTATAAATAATCGTTTATGTTGAAACATTCATCTTTATAATAGGGACAGAATGCTTCAATCAAAGTTCTTGAATCATAATTGATTTGGTCTAAGATTTTATTACTGGAATATGTAAGCTAAGATTAAAAGACAGTTTTAGAGAATGACAGAGACTTCATTTCCTTTGTAAAAAGAAAGAAAAGAAACATTTGCTTTTCTTACTATCTATGTGCCTGCAACTAATTGAATGCTTCAATTTTACTTCAAGATGGTTGTAGAGATAACTAACGAATATTTACTTTACACTGCGATTTTAAGAATTCAAAATGTCTAATATAATTTTGATACAATTTAGGACAAATGTAATGCTGTAATAAGAAATTATAGATATCCGGAGAATCCTAAAACATTAAAACCGCAATTTTAAATGGTAAATAACAGTTATGGCGCCCAAATGTAGACAAAGAAATCTTTCTTTGCTGCTTTAGATTAAAATATCATGAAATCAATATATATATATATCTTTTGAGCAGTTTATTGGTTTTAACAGTATAAAATGCTCATTACATTATAAGTACCACTAGAGTGCTACGGACAGAAGGGGTTAGTTTAACTATTATGATATATAAATAAATGTTCATATTGGTCAAAAAATAGTTAATTATATTGTTTTATTAGCAGAATAAATTAATACATTTAAAGTATTTCACTCTCTGTTTAAGTACACACTCGCAAAATTTGATAGACCTTCGAGGCCTGAATGATTTCTCGTTTTCCCGTGCAAGCGAATTGACAGGGGTGTAGCTCGGATGGTGAGCGTTCGCTTAGCATGCGAGAGGTAAGGTGATCAGTTCCGCCCCTTTCGCGAATTTTAAACTACTATAGACACATATGTGCATGCGTTATCGGATTTCCTCGTAGTTGTAAGCAGAGTCAACTGTTCACAAACATATTATTTCCTCGCATCAAGGCCATGGTGTTCGATTTGTAAAAATTTGGCATTTGGCGTTTGGAATATAAAGATCTCCATCGTCTAATGAATCTGATTTCTGCCAAAATATTGTAATTGAACTAATCTCTGCTGTTTGATTTTCATACGATAGAGATGCTTCCATTCACTAATAAGTATATTTTAAGGAGGCGTAGATCCGATGATAGTTCCGCGTGAGTAACAGAGCAAAACGCCGTAGTTCCTTTAATTATTTTCCTACATTACTAGACATCTCGCATTCAACAGCCAGTGTGAAGTGACACTTAATTGGTTATAGAATTATCTTATTATTTCCACACCACTCTGCGATGGTGTGTATTTGTTAAGACCATGTTATAGTTGGATGTAAAATGAATATTAAAAGTAAGTTATTTTCGCCTAGTAATTTTTATATTTCAAACAGTTTCTATCATCTGATAGGTTTTCAATTTCTGAAAAACAGTGTTAGTCTCCTGAACGATATTTTTGAAGCTTGTTTACACAAAACTTTGTTATTGGCAGGCGTAGCTGAGATGGTGGAGCGCTGTTCTAGCACGACAGAGGACAGGTAAAGAGATAACTCGTGATTTAATTCACAGTGTTTCTCTACACATTATTATTTTCCTATTCAATTGAGTGCTATATTACACAAGATGTCACTTATGTTCGCCTTTTACAGCGACATTCAAGTGACATCCATGAGAGGGGTCTTATTCATTAATTTTCACACCATTTCTGAGAGAATAGCCGACCATTTTAAAAAGCTCTTTTTCGTGTAGTGGTGAAAATTTGGAAATAATTTACTTCCGATCGGCATTTATCGATTAAACTTTAATCGTTTAACGGTATTTTCCCTTTTATAACGCCTTTCCTGACCTAGTTTCTGCTCGATCTTGCTGACGTGATGAAATCAATCTGCTTATAATTCAACGTGTTAACGGGGCGTAGCTCGGATGGTAGAGCGCTCGCTTAGCATGCAGAGGAGTACGGGGATCGATACCCGCGCCTCCATTTTATCTCGGAATTGAATGTCTGATTTTAGAGAACGCTCAAATATGGTAAGGACCTCAAGCCAATCTAGACTCTTTTAATTTATGCACCATGCCACTGAAAGCGATGTGTGTGGCGACTATTTAAAAACAGAATTTCAAATAATATTAATAAAGATCATTATCCAGGGATCTAAAGTTTTGCAACAAGTTTTAAACATTATTTATCTTATAATGTTATTTTTAAAATTTCCTTCGAGACATCGAGTCTTGCTTATATAATTGCTCGCGAAATTTAGTTTCTATAAATATGCGTGGCATAAGAAGCATTAGCTCAGATGCTACTGCGCTCCTGAACATCGCTACCGTAATGTACTTGTTCTCTTTACCCCGTTATTTGATATCTCAAGTCCTAGAACACTGTCTCGATAAGTTCAAATTTTCAAATGCAACACCTCTCACTCTAATTTCTAGAACCTTTGTTTGGTGTCCCAGAAGCCGCGATTAAATGTATATAATTTGGTTTAAACTAAAATATTAAAACCGGAAATTAATTTCAACCAAAATTTACATTGATTTCAAACAAACTTTAGGTGGATTTTACGTTTTCCCAACTAAACACGAATAATTGAATTATTTTCTGCCAGAATATTACATAAGAAGACATGCTAAAAACATTAGCAACATCCTTGGGCGTAGCTCAGATGGTAGAGACGCTCGCTTCGCGAGAGGTACGGGATCGATACCCGCGTCTCCAATAAAGTGGTTTCGGAAAACTTTATATTTTAATCCCCATCTTGATGTAATAGCACTCGAATGGATGACAATTTGTTATATAGAACAACTAGGAACCAGGAAGAACGGCATGTCTGACCGGAACCCCGTGTTGGTTATTTGCAATATACCACTTGACGCCATGGATGCCCATTTAAAAGCAGGTCATCGGAGAAGGTCGTAATAGTGCATATTAAAAACCAAATTTCTTGTGCCTTGTTTTTTGCATAATCCTCCTTACCGCGTTTTCGGAAGAAACATTGTTATCAGAACCATCTTACTATGCGAGCATATTGAAGAATGTCGAAGGCAAACGTAGTTCCAGGGGCGTATACAAAGCAGAGCACTCAACTTAGCATGCGAGAGGTACGAGGTCAAAACACCGCAAACATTTATTAATTTTATGCCTTTACGGGATATGAACGTTTCACAGCCTCTGTGAAGTGATAGTTAAGATATGATATGAGGACAGTTTACGCACCAAGACTTTGCGGAAGGAGGACTAATTTCAAACAAGGTCCATTTTGATCGCAATTATGAATACTAAGAGTAAGTTTTTCCTCAAATTAACTTGGCTCTATTTGAAATTTCTGTGCCACGTAGGACTTTGTATTTACAGATGTATAGTTTATGTATAGATGTGTAGTTTGAAGTAAATCACATTTATAAATAATCGTTTATGTTAGAAACAATTATCTTATAATAGGGGACGAATGCGCTTCAATCAAAGTTCTTGAATCATAATTGATTTGATAGCTAAGATTTTATTACTGGAATATGTAAGCTAAGATTAACAAGACGGATTTTAGAATGACAGAGACTTTACATTATCCTTTGTAAAAAGAAACACCTTTTTTCTTACGTATCTGAAATTGTGCCTGCAACTAATTAGATACTTCAATTTTACTTCAAGATGTTGTAGAGGTAACTAACAAAATATTTACTTTACACTGCGATTTTAAAATTCAAAATGTCTAATATAATTTTGATACAATTTAGGACAAATGTAATGCTGTAATAAGAAATTATAGATATCGGAGAATCCTAAAACATTAAAACCGCAATTTTAAATAAGGTAAATAAACAGTTATGCCCTAAATATAAAAGAAATCTCTTCTTTGCTGCTTTGGAATTAAAATATCCTTGAAATCAATATATATATATCTTTTGAGCAGTTTATTGGTTTATAACAGTATAAAATGCTCATTACATTATGAAATTACCACATAGATGCTACGGACAGAAAGGGTTAGTTAACTATTATACGTATAAATAAATGTTCATATTGGTCAAAAATAGTTAATTATATTGTTTATTAGCAATTAATGCTACATTTAAAGTATTTCACTCTCCTGTTTAAGTACACTCGCACCCAAAATTTGATAGACCTTCTTGAAGGCCTGAATGATTTCTCGTTTTCCGTGCAAGCAGATTGACAGGGGTGAGCTCAGATGGTAGAGCGTTCGCTTAGCATGCGAGAGGTAGGTGATCGATCCGCCCCCTTTCGCGAATTTTAAAATCTACTATGAAGCACATATGAGCATGCGTTATCAGTTTCCCTCGGTTGTAAGCAAGAGTCAGACTGTCACAAAATAGTCATATTATTTCCTCGCATCAAGGCCATGGTGTTCGATTTGTAAAATTTGGACATTTGGCGTTGTGGAATATAAAAGATCTCCATCGTCTAATGAATACTTTGAATTTCGTGCAAAATATTGTTAATTGAACTAATCTCGCTGTTTGATTTTTACGATAGAGACATGCTTCCATTCACTAATAAGTATATTTTAAGGAGGCGTAGATCCGATGTAGTTCCGCGAAACAGAGCAAAACGCGCGTAGTTCCTTTAATTATTTTCCTACATTACTAGACATCTCGCATTCAACAGCCAGTGTGAAGTGACCCATGGATATAGAATTATCATTCATATTTCCACCACCCCTTGCGATGGTGTGGTATTTTGTTAAGACCATGTATGTAATGTTGGATGTAAAATGAATATTAAAAGTTATTTTCGCCTAGTAATTTTTATATTTCAAACGGTTTCTATCATCTGATAGTTGGTTTTCAATTTCTGAAAAACAGTGTTAGTCTCCCGAACGATATTGTTGAAGCTTGTTTACACAAAACTTTGTTATTGGCAGGCGTAGCTGAGATGGTGGAGCGCTGTTCTAGCACGACAGAGGACAGGTAAAGAATAACTCTGATTTAATTCACAGTGTTTTCTCTACACATTATTTTCCTATTCCGAGATTGGTGCTATGTTACACAAGATGTCACTGTATAGTTCGCCTTTCAGCGACATTCAAGTGAATCCATGAGAGGGTCTTATTCATTAATTTTCACTTTTCTGTTGAGAGAATAGCCGACCATTTTAAAAAGCTACTTTTCGTGAGTGTGAAAATTTGGAAATAATTTACTTCCGATGGCATTATCATTAAACAAATTTAATCGTTTAACGTATTTTCCCTTTTTATAGAACGCCTTTCCCTGACCTAGTTTCTGCTCGATCTTGCTGACGTGATGAAATCAATCTGCTTATAATTACGAACGTGTTGAACGGGGCGTAGCTCAGATGGTAGAGCTCTTAGCATGCAGTACGGGGATCGATACCCCGCGCCTCCATTATTATCTCAGTGAATGTCTCGGATTTTAGAGAACGCTGAGTGGTAAGGACCTCAAGCCAATCTAGAGACTCTTTTTAATTTATTGCACCAAAGCCATGGCTTGATGTGTGTGTGTGCGACTATTTAAAACAGAATTTCTAAATAATATAATAAGATCATTATCAGGGATCTATTTTGCAACAAGTGTAAGTTTAAACATTATTTATCTTATATTTATTTTTAAAATTTCCTTCAGACATCGAGTCTTGCTTATATAATTGCTCTGAAATTTAGTTTCTTAAATATCGTGGCATAAACATTAGCTCAGTGTGCTACTGCGCTCCTGAACATGCGATACCGTAGATGTCTTGTTCTCTTTACCCCGTTGATATCTCGATTCCTAGAACACTGTCTCGATAAGTTCGGACAATTTCAAATGCAACACCTCTCCTCCTAATTTCTAGAACCTTTGTTTGGTGTCCCAAGCCGCGCGATTAAAAATTGTATATAATTTGGTTTAAACTATAAATATTAAAACCGGAAATTAATTTCAACCAAAAATTTACATTGGATTTCAAACAATTTATTTTGGGTGGATTTTACGTTTTCCCAACTAAACACGATAATTGAATTATTTTCTGCACCAGAATATTACAGTAAGAAAGATGCTAAAACTAGCAACATCCTTGCGCGGGGCGTAGCTCAGATGGTAACGCTCGCTTCATGCAGGAGGTACGGGGATCGATACCCCGCGTCTCAATAAAGTGGTTTCGGAAAACTTTATATATTTTTAATCCCCATCTTGATGTAATAGCACTCGAATGGATGATGACAATTTTGATTATAGAGCAACTAGGAACCAGAACAGCATGTCTGGCCGGAACCCCGTGTTGTTATTTGCAAAATATACCACTTGACGCCATGGATGCCCATTTAAAGCAGGTCATCGGAGAAGGTCGTAATATGTGCATATTAAAAAGCAAATTTCTTGTGCCTTGTTTTTGCATAATCCTCCTTACCGCGTTTTCGGAAGAAACATTGTTATCAGAACCATCTTACTATGCGCATATTGAAGGTGATGCAGAGGCAAACGTGATTCCAGGGGCGTAGCTACAAAGCAGAGCACTCAACTTAGCATGCAGGAGAGGTACGGGGATCAAAACACGCAAACATTTATTAATTTTATGCCTTTACGGGATATAGAACGTTTCACAGCCTCTGTGAAGTGATAGTTAAGATGTGTATGATATGAGGACAGTTTACGCCAAGACTTTTGCGGAAGGAGGACTAATTTCAAACCAGGTCCATTTTGATCTAATTATGAATACTAAAGTAAGTTTTTCCTCAAATTAACTTGGCTCTATTTGAAATGTTCTGTGCCACGTGGACTTTGTATTTACAGATGTATAGTTTATGTATAGATGTGTAGTTTGAAGTAAATCACATTTATAAATAATCGTTTATGTTACGAATTCTCATCTTTATAATAGGGACGAATGCGTTCAATCAAAGTTCTTGAATCATAATTGATTTGGTAAGCTAAGATTTTATTACTGGAATATAAGCTAAAAGATGACGGATTTTAGAGAATGACAGAGACTTTACATTATCCTTTGTAAAAAGAAACACTAGCTTTTTCTTATATCTGAATGGTGCCTACAACTAATTAGAATCTTCAATTTTACTTCAAGATGGTTGTAGGGTAACTAACGAAATATTTACTTTACACTGCGTTTTAAGAATTCAAAATGTCTAATATAATTTTGATACAATTTAGGACAAATGTAATGCTGTAATAGAAATTATAGATACGGAGAATCCTAAAACATTAAAAACCGCAATTTTAAATAAGGTAAATAAACAGTTATGCCCTAAAATGTAGACAAAAGAAATCTCTTCTTTGCTGCTTTGGAATTAAAATATCCTTGAAATCAATATATATATATATACTTTTGAGCAGTTTATTGGTTTATAACAGTATAAAACTCATTACATAAAGTACCACATAGATGCTACGGACAGAAGGGTTAGTTAACTATTATGCAGTATATAAATAAATGTTCATATTGGTCAAAGAAATAGTTAATTATATTGTTTTATAGCAGAATAGAATTAATGCTACATTTAAAGTATTTCACTCTCCTGTTTAAGTACACACACTCCAAAATTTGTAATTCTTGAAGGCCTGAATGATTTCTCGTTTTCCGTGCAAAGCGAATTGACAGGGGTGTAGCTCAGATGTAGAGCGTTCGCTTAGCATGCGAGAGGTAAGGTGATCGATTCCGCCCCTTTCATGAAAATCTACTATGAAGCACATATGTAGCATGCGTTATCAGTTTCCCTCGTAGTTGTAAGCAAGAGTCGAACTGTCACAAAAATAGTCATATTATTCCTCGCATCAAGGCCATGGTGTTCGATTTGTAAAAATTTGGACATTTGGCGTTGTGGAATATAATCTCCATCGTCTAATGAATACTTTGAATTTGTGCCAAAATATTGTAATTGAACTAATCTCTGCTGTTTGATTTTCATACGATAGAGACAGCTTCCATTCACTAATAAGTATATTTTAAGGAGGCGTAGATCCGATGATAGTTCCGCTGAGTAACAGAGCAAACGCCGTAGTTCCTTTAATTATTTTCCTACATTCTAGACATCTCGCATTCAAGCCAGTGTGAGTGACACCCAATTAATTGGATATAGAATTATCATTCTATTATTTCCACCACCCCTTGCGATGGTGTGGTATTTTGTTAACCATGTGTATAGTTGGATGTAAAATGAATATTAAAAGTAAGTTATTTTCTACGTAATTTTTTATATTTCAAACAGTTTCTATCATCTGATAGTTGGTTTTCAATTTCTGAAAAACGTGTTAGTCTCCCTGAACGATTTTTGAAGCTTGTTTACACAAAACTTTGTTATTGGCAGGCGTAGCTGAGATGGTGGAGCTGTCTAGCAGACAGAGGAACGGGTAAAGAGATAACTCGTGATTTAATTCAGTGTTTCTCTACACATTATTATTTTCCTATTCAGATTGGTGCTATGTTACACAAGATGTCACTGTATAGTTCGCCTTTACAGCGACATTCAAGTGACATCCATGAGAGGTCTTATTCATTAATTTTCACTTTCTGTTGAGAGAATAGACCATTTTAAAAAAGCTACTTTTCGTGTAGTGGTGAAAATTTGGAAATAATTTACTTCCGATCGGCATTATCGATTAAACAAATTTAATCGTTTAACGTATTTCCCCTTTTTAAATGAACGCCTTTCCTGACCTAGTTTCTGCTCGATCTTGCTGACGTGATGAAATCAATCTGCTTATAATTACAACGTGTTGAACGGGGCGTAGCTCAGATGGTGAGCGCTCGCTTAGCATGCGAGAGGTGAGGATCGATACTGCCTCATTTTATCTCAGGTAGGATGTCTGGATTTTAGAGAACGCTAAGATGATCAAGCCAATCTGAGACTCTTTATTTAGCACCATACTTAAAGGTGTGTGCGACTATTTAAAAACTAGAATTCAAATAATATTAATAAAGATCATTATCCAGGGATCTAAAGTTTGCTAATTGAAGTTTCATTATTTATCTTATAATGTTATTTTAAAATTTCCTTAGCATCGAATCTTGTATATAATTGCTCATGATTGTTTCTATAAATATGGTGGCATAGTAGCTCAGATCTCTGCGCTCCTAACATGCGATACGCAGATGTCTTGTCTCTTTTACCCCGTTGTTGATATCCTCCGTACGAACACTGTCCTCGATAAATTCGGACAATTTTTCAAATGCAACACACCCTCCCTCTAATTTCTAGAACCTTTGTTTGGTGTCCCAGAAGCCAAGCGAGTGTATATATATTTGGTTAAACTATAAATAAGCTGAAATTAATTTCAAC